ACTACTGATGTGCGTATTGNAATAGGGATTTGTATAATATTTATATAGCAACGGTTAAAATTTTTCGCTATCCACAGAGCAAGTAAGCGTTAAAATTAAAGAACTATCACAGCAACTAATTAATAAGGATCAGATAACATGGAGATTTTGCTCTACTGTATTTACTATACTGTACAGTATACTGTACAGTAGATTCGAGTGTACAGTACAGTACATTGTATCTATGATTGCAGTCAGTCATACTGTACTGTACACTGTACAGTACACTGTAGTGCACTAATTTTTTTTTTGAAGAGGTTAGAAAAAGGTTTATATTATGCAGTGTATATTATTAGACATGTCACTATGAGAGTTTTTCAGAAATTCATATTTGGCATATCACGAATCTATGAATAAATATGTGAACACTGTACGGTACTAGTGCAGTATAAATGGGAGTAGAGAATTGGAAGAAACTCTTTCACCATTTTGCATTGTTTACAAGTTTTACAGTACACTGAATAGTACCAGGTAGTACGGTGCCCAATTCAAGGACACGTATTTAGCTCGATATACGGTAGAATTGCATTTGATTTTAAAATTTTACAGGGAAATACAGTAAATTATTCCACTAGCGAATTACGGGTATTCGTAAGCAAGCCTATTCCATTAAATATTGTAGTGTGTTATTAATTAAAGGGGCATTTATGTACAAAATTTGTGGACAATGTGGGATAAATATTGTTCAGTATAGGAGTAGTGATCTACAGTACAGTATTTACTGTGCAGTACAGAACGCACAATACAATGTACTGTATATATGTACTGTACAGGACGCACAGTACCCAACCAGATTTTACAAGTAGATATAATATTTTTGCTAGCTGCCATTACCAGTATTACTCCAAAGCTATTTCTAAATAAAATAATAGCATACAGATAATATATAAGATCTTTTAGTTTACTAACCTTAAACAGCCATTTATTATAAAATGTAAGGCAAATGGAAAATGTATAATACAAGATAATTAAAGCCAATGTCCTGCATATCAACACGGTGTCTTCTGGTGCGTTTGCAAGCATCATGGCGTGAAATAAAATTATTATCCTTCAAAGCCAGATTGCACTCTGTATGGTGTGCTTTTAAAATTCTTGAATAATTCTGGATGGAGAAGTGTATGTAAGATGTACATACGAGTATATATTGTTGAGTACGATAGGGTCTTGTTAAATTATCCGCTTCAAATTAGTCGCATCTGTAAACGTATCTGATGGGCTATGACTACTGCTTTAGTCCAATGCCACTCACTCCGTTATATACGGTACTCTTACTGCATGCATCCATCCAGTAAGTCGAGGTACGGCGAATCGAAGATGCCTTGATACATAGTAATTTTACTGCACTATATCCGACATGAGATAAAAGCGAGCTGTGTGGTTTCATATCAGATCCGGTTTTCTGTTATCGTATACAGTACAGTACTGTACAGTACAGTACACTACTAGGCCTACTGTACAGTACAGTAAGCCCAAAGTCTCTTGGGATACTGTACAGTACAATGTACAGTACTGTGAGTTTTTTATTGTTCAGATGTACAGTACATTGTACTGTACACCTAAACAGAACGTCATCAGAAGTTGCAGAATCTAGTTGTGCAGCTGCTGTACACTGTACAGTGTACAGTACACAGTACACAGTACTGTACTGTACGTACACACTGTACACTGTACAGTGTACAGTACAGTACTGTACTTACAGGTCAGATCTACTACAGTACAGTACAGTACAGTACAGTACTGTACGCTACAGTGTAGTCCCTGGTACGGTATGGGGTACTGTATGCAGTACTTTATATACTGTACACTGTACAGTACTACAGTATAAATGTTTTAGTTGAAATTTCTAGGACAGTAGTCTGTGACTGTAAGTTCACTGGAAAGATAGAGCTCGAAATGACGACCTCCGCATTTGACGCAATAAATGGCTTGGAACAGATTAATAATTCAGGGTCACCAGAGGGGATTGTAGAATATAAATTAAAAAGCGTCTTCAAAAATTATTCCCTTTATGCAAGACACTGGCCTGTAGCATCCCCGAAGTTAGTACCTACTGTGCTGAAAAAATATTTATTTAATTTAAATAATTAATTAATTCTACTGGTCCGATCTTGTTATTTTAGTGTTAGTTTTAGTGCTGTGCAGTCATGGAAACTGAATACAAACTGCGATTACATCGTCGCTTTCTCGGCGCTTTACTTGTAGATGAATGCGTAGTATTTATTAATGAACTACACGCGTGTTAGTAGAATATCTTGCTCATGATACTTCACATACATGTACTGTTATTATAGTACTTTTATCATCGTTAACGACTAGCTACTGATGTTACGTTTGTTGTACAGTACAGTACAGTACTCAAGAGCCACTTCCAGTCTCTCCTCTCTTAGTAGTCCTTGGCTATACTTAATGAATTCATTTTAGTATGTGCCACTATTACGGCTATTTAAAACTTAAATTTTAGCTTTAAAACAACAGTTGGAGCAAGTAAAACATGAATTTACCAAACTGAATACTATCCATTAATAACAGATTAGCGAATCCATATGTCCTGATTTGTGTAATCATACATATGGGCGTATGTAATCATGCAAACTAGCATATACGAGTATTAATCAGCTCCTTACCTAATAATACTACATGTAAATTATATCAACTTCGTTAAATGATCCTATAATTTTTCTATGAATTATTCAACGAATACGCGCACAAATTAAGTGGTAAAATATTTCCATTACAGATGTAAATAGTGTTACACGTAGTAAACCACCTCGCTATTAACTTACTGTATACAGCGGTACACGTAAATTCGTACAGTACTGTATTTCAGCCAAAGTGCTATAATTCATACTAACTCAGTATTTATAGCTTCGCATTGTTTTAAGAACCACTGCAAAACATTACAATTTACTTGCATCTATTCTAAACGGTAGTGGTAACTTTTCGAAAGATTAGCACGGTCGATCAATAAGCTCATTTTTTCTTATACTACAGCATAATACTAAAATTGGCGATTAAATACTGTACTCCAGCTATTAGTATGCATGCAACCCTGATATTCTAGCTGATATCGTTGATTGATGATAGCGACCAAACTTATTTGTCCGAGGTTGACACTTCTATATAATCTCATAAAATCCTTTCAGTTTCTTATACCATATACTCGTATATACATATTTTGTATTTTAATAATTTCTTTTGGTTCTCTACTAACGTAATACTGTAGAGCTATTGCTATCATCATTCATGGTGCCGGAGAACACTGTGGCAGATACGATGAGATGGCAAGTCTTTTGAATAAGGAATCCATATATGCCTTTGCAAATGATCACAGTTAGTTACAACGATCACGTTTCAAGAAGCATTTCTTAACTAAAAATTCATGTCACTTCACTTAACATACTAATATTCTGAATTGTAAGACTTGACATATAATATTAAATATTGATTTCTCTAGTTGGTCACGGTCGGAGCGATGGAGAAAAATTATGTTTGGATAAATTTGAAACTTATACTGATGACTGCCATAAACATTTACTACTTGTTCAAGAAAGATTCCCTGATTTAAAAGTATTTTGCATTGGTCACTCGCTGGTATGACTTCGATTAATATTAGTACAAAAAATTAATGTTAATAGACTTGTATCAAAATAATTCTATGAAATTCACGCAGATCACTGAATTAGGTATAATCGGAACTTATTATAGTTATAGCATGGTTCGTTAAGTTTCTGTAACTTTGATGACAATACATAGTAGCATTGTGAAAGTTACTATATATAGAAAAGAGAAAGTACAAGTATTTTATGCGCACGATTACATACATCTCCGCCCTTACTTTGATTGTGTTCTTCTAATGCATAACCTACTTTGCTGTAAAATTATATAAAGCATTGCTGTATACATATTATGAACTCACTGTAGACTACTTGATATTTTCGCTTACACGTCACCAGGGAGGATTAATTGCCGTAGATCTTGCTGTTAAAATACCGAAAGCTTTCGCTGGAGTCGTACTTATTTCTCCATGCCTTGCGATCGCCCCCGAAGCTGCTTCTTTCTTCACTGTAGGGCACTCGAAATTATGTTAATAATTTATGATCAAAAATATCAAATTAGATATGATACTACTCCTAAATTCTGATGTGTATAATTAATACTCATATTTAGATAATGGCCATGAAAGTGATATCATTTTTCCTACCAAAAATGCAAATAAATCGAATAGATGCAAAGTTTGTGTCCCGGGATGAAAAGGAGGTAACATCCTTGAAGTTAATTTTAACTTTAGATGGTTAAAGTTTTCCTTCAGTATTATGAAAAATTATCTTAGCACGACTAAATTTATGTCAACATGCGGCAGGTAGAATCATACAACACTGATCCTTTAGTGTGGCATGGTGGTCTTAGAGCGCATTTTTGTAAGGAGGTGTATGATGCCGTTTGCAAAATTACCAAAATAAGCAAGAGTATCGAATGGCCTTACCTTGTCATGCATGGTGACCAAGACAAATTATGTGAAATTAGTGGATCTGAAAGCTTTCATAATGCAGCCCGCAGCAGTGATAAAACATACAAGGTAAAAATTTTTAATACTTATACAAACCTTTGTAAGTTAGCTAGTCATTGGCATGGTGATTGCTAACTAATTACAACGAACAATTTACAGATTGATCAGTGATATTATCTTAATATGGTATTTCTTTTCACTGACGTAGAGATATGAGGGATTTTATCATGCATTGCATAAAGAACCGGTAGATAGTCGCAAAATTATTTTTGAAGACTTGCTGAAATGGATCAACGATAGAATGGATTAACCTTTGGTTAAAGGGCTACAGATATGCAAGAATTCGTTGGATACTTGTCTAACTATTAAATTATCGCAACTGGCCTTAGTACATTAATAATAAATCTCTAATGTTACGTGATAGCTCTTGGTTATAGCATATACTTTACAGTAAATTATTTGCTAGCTACTGTAAGGTAGGGTTGGTAACTTTTTGTATGTAGTGTTTTATAAATTAGGACAAAAGTTACTACTGAGTATCTTGGGCGAAGCTTTTTTTTCATTCTTGTGTATCATGTCGACATTTTCATTAGAATTGTTATTTATGTTATATTCAATATATTTAATATGAAGTAGTTAAAGGATGCGCTTGAGTTTAGTTGAACTATATTAATGATGACGTCCATGTATTGAGGTTAACCAAAAATAAGTGCATAAGTTACGGTATAATTAAAAAATTAACAGTAAACACGGTACGGTGTATACTGTAAGGTGTATTGAGATATGTTATGATCACAAAAGTATATAATAAGCGATACCAGTGGATTACAGAGTCATTTAGTAAATTGTAGAAATATACTACTGTTAGACGAGTATTAAGTCAATTTCACAATATTAAAGTGAATATAGTGACTTAATAAAACGTCTCCATTCTTCGATAACCATTTAGTTAGTGATAATATTGCATGAGAGCAAGAAAACAAATTTGCAACTAAGTATATGTGCATACGTACTTATCTATGAAGTTTCTAAATGAGAAAGCTTTTATTAATTTTGTGACTGTAGCGAGTACCTAGGTTATCATATCCTTTGCAATATGATGATACAAACTTAAAACATTTTAACAATGGTTTAATCTTGTCGTAAATATCTTTAGATTCCAGAAAAACTATAATATTAGATGTAATGCTAAGCATGTATATCAACAGATAAGAATATCTTCCTTTTCCACTAAAACTTTCATACAGTATTACTCCAATTTAGTATTTGGAACAAAAATAGGTTGTCAAGGTACATATTTAAGCTAAATGTAAGTATAATAGAATATCATTTAATATTGTAAACTATAAAATTATGAACTGAAGTCATAAATCGCCTTGGTTGTAGCCATTCCAAATAAAAATATCCCTAATATGGCTAGAAACGAGCCATAGCAAATACATGCAACATGATATTTTCTATTAAAGTTATAACGTAGCCCAATTAAGCAGAAACCTAAAATTAATAAGCAATAATGACATTAGTGTTAGCTAAACAAAACTGTATTCTAAAATAACCAAAGCATCCATATTGCGAGTCGACTATAAATTTTTATTATTCTACTTTTAGCATGCGTATTGTTAGATTTTGCTACCTGGAAAAACAAATATAAAGAGTGCTGCAAAGCCTCCAGCTAAAGCGATAATATCTCCAACGTTTGGTACGAATAACGATAAACTAAGTGTGACCACAAACCAACTTAATGTCTGTATAATAAGACGGGATTTCTTGTGAATTTTGGCACTTTCATCATTCAAGTTTCTAAAATTAAGCCATAATTCTTCGACTACCTGTCTATAGAGATCAGTTTAAAATATTACTCTTGCAATATTGAAGATATAAGTGAAAACACGAACACGCTAATTATGAATTATTATATTATGATAACTACAGTACATTTTATCTATCTTCACCTTGCACAGAAATGTAGCACAGGATATGAAGTTACCATATTGATTGAGATCATGATTCGTGAAATAGTGACCAGAATATTACTTGAACCATAATTTAAAAGAATGTCACTGTTGACGGAATTTCCGAAAGACATGTAGCCAAAAGATCCAGTGATGCTATATACAACAATACAAACTAGCATTGCTATGATAATAACTAAATTAAATCGCTTAATAGAGCGATCTCTTAATTTCTCATAGGATGGAATGGAGGAAATATGACACTAGAAAAGGGCAGAAATGATTAAAATTTATAAATAAATCCTTACAATAATTCGTCATTAGTGATTTATAAAACATGGTACTACATGTACGGAACGTGTATGATAAGGTACAGGATAATAATGAAGTAACTGATATATTATTGGCCTAGATCGTATATCAGTACGTCAATTTACGTGAAATCCGAAGCAAATTGTTGAGAAAGCACTAGCAATTTGAGACCAATTCGAAATGCGGCTACAAAATAAATAAATAAGTTTAGTTATTTTATTACTTGACAAAAGAGTATTTTTCGATCAATAATTGAGCAAATTTTTCATCTTTTGGAGTATACGAGTATTTAAAGTCAGTCAATGACATCAACTGAATTTATTTCTATACTTTAAAGTTCATTCCAAGTAACAACATCGCAGCGAATAATGATTATTGCAGCAATACCTGTAATTCATGTATATTAACTATGTTATAATCAATTATGGTACGTACGTTTAACTATGGTATTTAATGATATATCGTAACATTTGTTTAGATTGAATGTATATAAGATGACTAATTATACACAATGTACAGCTTCAGTATTGGTTAGGGGTTAGAATAAATTAGTCACTTTTCTATTGCTTTAACTCGCTTAATGAAGTTACGAGTGACCAAATTTCTTGCGTGAATAATAACAGATACCTCTGATATATTGGCCTTTTATGATAATCGTTAATAAAGAATTCAATCATGACGACTATTGCGACGTTTATAACCGCTACGGTCCCTAAAATACTATTGGCGAAAAGATAAATAGATTTCATTTAGTTCTACTAATTACTAGCATAGTAAAATAACCAACGCGATTATTGAATAAACGAGAAGGAATTGTTAATTTAGCAATAAATGCTCTAGATACAGTACATTAAAGGATACCGTAATATTTAACCTACACCGCTAGTGTCGCACATCATTGCAAAAAGTTAATCGATGTTTTCTTAATCAAAAGAATTAAAAAGATTTATATTAATTGGCATACCTACTGTATCGAAGACTTCCAATATTCTTAAGCAATGATAAAGGCAAGATAAATAAAGTCGATGTAATACTCATAACAAATTTGCGATTAGTATACCATTGATGCTGTTGTCCAGTAATACCTATTATTACTGTAAATATATAAATTATAGAATACTCTTTATGGCTACTTGCTTAGAGTATATATAGGAAATTTTAATTAGCAACTATAGCTATAACTATTTGCGTATAAGAAGTTGAATAATTGATTTTAAAAAAGTATAGAATAATATGCAAAATGGTATCATAGAACTTACTCTCATCGGATTGATCTCCAATGATAACTAGATACGTAATGCAAGTGCTTAAAGAGAATAAAATCAGTAGTACTTCAGAGATAATCTTTACTTTCGTGCCCAAAATAGAGCTGACTGCACTTTGGTATGAGTAAGATGTCTTTTTTTTATCTACACAATATGCCAATATTAGATGTGTGCTGCTAATAAAAGGGATAAGGACCTATAGTTGCATAAATAATGTCCGTAAATAAGATCAGAACTATCAACAACTAAACGTCCTGATTTCGAATGTAATATCTAAATTGGTTTCTTAAATGTTAACGCACTTACAGTTAGATTTTATTTATCGCAATTTATATCGTCACATCTCTCGTAAAAATAGATTAAATGATAATTACCAATTGTATTAAGATTCCGCCAATAATGCCACCAACTGAGCCAAAAGTTGAAGGGAAGTTTAATAAACCAGCACCCAAGCATATATTCACAATTATGGATACGGCTCCAATTATTGTTATGTCGTCACTAGATGTGCAACAGTAATTACCTATCCCATTGGTATGTTGCTTATCCTCGTCGTTTTCTGTTTCAGTAAGTAATCTTTTGTGTTCTTGCTTTGATTTTAATATTGTAGTATTGGACGCTTCCTCTACGCTATTCAAGTGATTCTGTTGTCCATTATCCTTAGCAGTATCGCAAGGTAGATGCGATATTTGTAATCGCATTTCTATATTGCAGTTGGTATTAACGTTTGTGTTCGATCTATGCATGTTTTTGTCAGCCACTGTTGCAATGACTTAGTTCAATAAAAGCGCCTTAAGTCTGAAGGTTTGAGTTTTAAATTAAAAAATGGGTACAGCTTGATGCACAGTCTTTTTAGTATTTTTGCTACTGCAATTAAGGAAACAATTGCATTATTATAAAAAAAATTGCCTCACGGTCGTATTCGGGACAATGTTTATACTACCAGAAATAAATTACTTAAATTGTCAATGTCAAAAGTATAAGAAACTTCGCTTAGGTAGGGAAACGAATCTTAATAGACTTTAAAATCACTACTACAGTACGCATATATAGTAATAGGCGTTAAGTTGATTAGAGAAAAGTTCACATTATTATAATAAGCAATTGCAAGGATTGCAAATTTATTGATTACAATGTATCATGGTACAATAGCTATGATAGATTATAAATAATCAGAGCAAACGCAGAATTAATATTAATCTTAAGAATTATTATGCGTATTAAATACTTATACAATTATGCATAGAAGTGCCGTTTGTTAATTAATAATTGTATTTAATTATCTATAATAATTTTCTATTTTCTATTAGATTACATTCATATCATGCAATGTTGATGTAATATTATAAAGATAAATATTTGCATAGTAGTATAACTTTAAATTATTATGATATGGTAATGCTTTAGCCAGAATCATATTCCATGAAATATTATCAAGGAAGTACATCCAATTTAATATTACAGTTTTCATTTCCATCGTAGGTCTTATCTTTCGCTGTAATTGCTTAATTGGGTATACTCAAGTTGTATCCCACTTCTTGATATAAACAACGTATAATAAGTTTTCAGATTATGATATCGAAGACGTCTTTAGCTTTTATTAATTATAATTAATTATCGTATCGTATCTAGAAATGCTTCATTTATATACTGCCGACGCATTTTCGTAGTGCAATAACGCAATAATCTACATCATTTGCATGTTAGTACTATAATCTTACCGCTTTAAAGTAAATTAGCTCTATACCCCATCTCCTTGTCGGTGGCCAGATCGTGACACATGATATTATTTTACAATCCGATTATCAACAATGCAATAACATTCATACTTTACTGTAATACTGAGTTAAACGTAACATTATACTACAAATGACCATATTTCTATATTCTATATTACAATATGACAAATGTTTGCGATATATTACGACATGCCACATAATCTATTAACTTAATATGTGTAGTTTCTTTTATACACGATAAAACCTGCCGCTAGTGCGTTAAGATATTTGCAGTACCTTACTAGTTAAGATAGTCAAACCTGGAATAATATCCAATTGTCCATTTTTGCAATCATAGTTAAGTACCCAGTCAACAGTGATCGATTTAGCCTATAATTAATAGAATTGCCATTCGATCAACTATATTCGAACTTACAGTTTAGTGTAACACATTGATGCTTTTAATAACACTAGCGTAATTGACTAAATGATATCAAAATTTGGTATCCTGTAAAATTCTCTACATATTGAATGGTGAGGGTTGTTATTTCTCTGGCTAGTAGAAGCTCCGAACAATGACACCGTAACACACTCATCCTAAAGGTGATTAAGAACTGCTTTATTAAGCTAGCTTAGCCTATTTATATTTTACACTTGCATATGCATAACCCTTAGCATTTCTTATTACGCTACTCATCGCGATACCTGGCTGGTGTACCGTCTATAATTTGATAATCTACTGTGTACGCTATGCGTCAGCATTTAGTGTATTTGCAGAGCTGATGAAAAATGCTCATGCGTTGCTCACTACTACGCTACTTTTTCACGTAGTGTACTGTACACTGAGTGTTGTACTGTACAGAGCACAGTACACTAAAACAACCAGCACTTACTGGTTACAGTCGTCTGTACACTGTACACTTGTACAGTTCAGTACGGCACAGTATAATCTCCTTTAAAATAAAATAAAATAAATAAAATAAAATAAAATAAAAATTTAAAATCTTTTACTGAGCCTAGACAGACAAAAAGATATCACCGAGTCCCTGTCTAGGCTCCATGGCCAATACTGTACAGTGTACAGTACAACACAATACAGTATACAGTATAGTACTGTAATACAGTAATGTACAGTACTGTACTGTACAGTACTATACAGTACTGTACAGTACATTACGCTGATTAACTACAGTACTGTACTGTAAGTAATCGGGGTTATTATGGCTGGGCCTACCGTACTGTACAGTTCTCGTACAGTAAGGTATGTAAGAGACTTGTATCCATAGAGTTAAGAAAAAAATTCTATGCTTGTATCAGTAAATCCCAGATTTTCGGGACGCTTCCGGGTGGAATATCTGCGTATAATCTAATAAGTGTGTAAGCGTTCCTTGAAACGAAAGCTGGAGATGGCGTTAAAACATGATGGTGGAGTCCGACTCGTCTATAGTAATGGGCAACATTCGCGCGATCCTCATGATAATCCATGCTTGATTATTGGTCAATACAATTACTTAAAAGCATTAAAGTATGAGGATGTTGCTAAGAAATTTGGCGATCGAGTGGATCAAAAAGTAAGTACAGTATAGATAGTAATATTCGACATTGACAAATATTCAATCCCGTGCTATTAATACCTACCGTACAGTACAGACTCTGTAGTTGAATATTAACTGTGAATTGAATAGGGTGTTATCTATGATTATTCTGGATTAATTATCTTAATCGTAGTGCAACGCGCAACATTATTATCATGATTCATTACCATAGCATCATTTCGGGATTTTTACATTCGAATTGGGGAAGCCTTTGTAAAATCTGAAATTTTAAAGTACAGTATATACCCGTATTCTAAAATAAATGAAGGGATAAATAGATGCATGCTAGAGAATTGGATCAAATCCAATGGATAGACCAACGATTTTAAATTTGTATATGATACAGTACATAAAAATCGTTGGTCCGTCTATTGGACTTGATCCGTAATATTTGCGGATGGCATATTTTTATTTATTTACTTTGAGCGAACTTTGAATATACTGTATAGACTTGCTTGAATTTGCAAATGCAGTACAGTACTGTAACTCGCACTGTATGTATATAGTATTATATCATCAGTTAATTCAATTTTATTACTGTGAATTTCTTCTTTTTATAAAGTATGGTATATACTGTATATAGAGAGATTGTGCAATAGGTAGGTAGATGTTGTACCGTTTAAAAAAGTAAAAAGAATGTAATGAGCACTTATTGAGCAGTTGGTGCACCCAAATCTATTCTTAAAGACGGAGATATGCGCAATTGAAATTGAATATATAACTTAGGGCACTTAAAAGCCGGCCAATGGCTTCTGGCCTAGATGTCCTAGGTAAAACCAACCAAAAGTGTAGACTGTACTGCAATTTTGACGTTTGCCTCTAGGCTTATTCAAGTGTAGTCGAAAATGTAGATAAATAAGCACCTCGCAGATCTTGGTATCTGTTACCATGGACAACTAAGTATGTACTACAATTTTGCTTTTGTCTCTAGGCTTATTAAACGTAGTCGAATATTTGCGCAGATAGATAAGTACCTTGAAGATCTTATATCATTTACCCATCTTAGTGCCTGTTACGTTATTGAAACCCTCCTACTTTAGTACTGTGCTGAGACGTGATCTAAAATGACAAAGTGGCACCGTCCATCCGATATGATCCCTGTATAACTCACAACTTATTGTTCTGTAGGAGTTCTATTTTAAAAACATTCAAAATTAAAACTAGCGATCCTAAGCCAGATAGCCTTTGCTTGGAAAAGCTATATTGTTAATAGTATGTAATAATGACAGTTAAATAACAGTACTTGTGCAATGTACAGTGTACGCATACGCCATGCGAGAACTGGTCTATGTATTGAGACTCTGTAAGCAGTATTATGAAAAAGTCATATAATAAATCGGCTTTTCGAATGTACGTATGTGGAAACTGAAGTTGAAATCGACGTAAGCCTATGGTATTATTTTCTTCTGACCAAATTTTCTACGGTTATACCAGACGAAAACTAAGAATTTTTGTAAGGGTTACGGCTATTTAAAAAAACAATTTTATATCCTTGGAAAGTAATTCAGTTAAAAGTAGTTTCAATTCCATCAACCTGCATATGGCGTTATTGTTCATGAGTGATAGCAAACTTGTCATACTGCTTAAGAAATACTTAATAGTAAATTATAGGTGATTCCCATCTATAGTAAATCATGACAGTATTGGATTTTAATTAGAGATAGTTATTATTCGTGTTTAGCAACTGCATCAAATGAATAGTTTTTTACTCTATTGGTACTTTATAATAATAACGCTCATAAATTTTAACAATTAATACTTGATATCAGACATTTTATGAAGGCATTGAACTATGTACCCGCTGTTCAACGGTGAATCTGTGGCTTAATTACGTAAAAATGGCTGTACTTCCCCCAGCAGGTAGCAGGCATAATTCGCCATGCAGCCCTCACTTTCTACCAACTTTAATCCATCGGGGCTTACTACATTCCGAAAATGAAGATATCGTCGTAAGTTATGCAACCACTTCGAATTGATAGTACAGTATCTACGCGTACATAGTCTTTTAAAATAGAGCATGGTACGAACTTAGCTCATAACTGAATTGGCTTAATTATTATAACGATACTTGCACACTTCGTTATTGTTTTTTTAACTTGATCCTTCTAAATTACCTTTCTTATCTGTCCAGATTATCTGTCGTAAAGCTGACGCTTTCGCACTAGCCTGTGCAGTTGCTCGATGTTATCCTACTTTCAATCGCAAATATCGAGGCTCTGTTATCGATAGAACTGTTACTGTCGAATTCTGCATCACAGACGATCGTACGGCAGTCTTAACTTCTGAAGACATAGCAGTTATGGATGCCGCTGCTTGTGGAATAAGAACCGCCTGTTATATCGTTGATGCTCCTTGTAACATGATGCAAACTACTCACTTTGTTGAGGTTTTAACAACTATATGACCAGTATGTCATTGTTCTTATAATTTTTAAATATTTATCTTGTCATTTATGTAATTTAGGAAGCGAAACGAATTGCAAAATTACTAAAAGTTAAATCGTTAATTATCGAGGGAGAAGACCTAAAGGCTGGAGGTTTTGGAGGTACGATGGAACTACTGTAGTGTGTTAATTATAGACTGCATCTACTTGTCCTAACTTGTAAACGTTTAAATTAATGATACTATTTTATTGTAATATCTGGAATATTGACTTCAATGTACTGTATACTATCATAGGAATCTATGGCGTTGGTCAGGCTGCAAGTGCGCCCCCTGCTTTAGTCGTACTCAGTCACACTCCGCGTAATGCGACAAAAACATTCGCCTGGGTAGGCAAAGGGATAGTCTATGACACTGGAGGCCTTTGTATCAAGACAAAGGTAATTTAAATTTAACAGAATTATACGTCAGCTAGTACCGTAACCGAATACAGTATACATTATATACGTGCAATGCCTTAAGTCTGTACACAACGATATCAATAGACGGGTATGCCTGGGATGAAGAGGGACTGTGGCGGAGCAGCTGCCATTCTAGGCGCATTTTATGCTGCCGTAAGCCAAGGATTCTCACAGAATTTACATGCAATCTTGTGCTTAGCAGAAAATGCTGTGGGCCCCAAAGCCACACGCCCAGATGATATTCATACCATGTATTCTGGATAGTAAGTTTATTAATTAATAAAATATATCGTTTGGTCACAATATCTACACAATCGCTCGTCATTAAACGCCCACCTTATTAATTTTTCGATACCTACCTGCTAATGACAACTATATAATGATTCATTCAATTTACAGTACTGTGGAGATTAATAACACTGATGCTGAGGGACGATTAGTGTTATCCGATGGGGTGAGATCAGTAGCTTTAACTTGTCTATTAGATATATTTATGATCATTTGATATTTTAGTATCAATTATTTGTTTCGTAAAAGGTCCATTATGCACTTAAGAATCTCAAGGCGGACGTTATTTTAGATATGGCTACCCTAACAGGAGCACAAGTACCTATTCTGACGCATTATAATTTCGCATCCATTTGATTACACAGCTTACGTATTATCATTACATTTATAGGCTATTGCTACAGGACTCTATCATGCAGCTGTCTTGACTAATCAAGAATCTTGGGAGACTGCTGCTACTGCGGCTGGTAGATCTAGCGGAGATTTAGTGGTGAGTTTCCTTAGTGACACATTTTAAGAGAAGCTAAGATCTTACGTCTATGTTTTGTGGAATTAACAGTTAACGTACTCGTATATTTATATTCAGTTACTTTCTTTGCGTATCAAATGTTAATCATATTAATATCCTACATCGCAGCATCCAGTTCCTTATGCACCAGAACTTCATTTCCCCGAGTTTAGCAGCTCTGTAGCGGATATGCTTAATTCCGTCTTGGTATAGTATTTTGTTCAATTCACAAATGTTTTGGTTATTCCGTTTACTGATATTGAAATTTGAGTTTAAGTTGTTAATTTATTTACTATATTGTAGAATCGCGGAAATGCTCAAGTTTCTTGTGCCGGCTTATTCATTGGAAAGCATATTGGCTGGGATTATAAAGGAGCTTGGATACATGTTGATATGGCCGCACCTGCTCATAGTGTAGGAATACTCGCCTATATTTTATTGATTTTCCATTAGCATTTAAACGTTATCTACTGCTAATTGAAGACGCTATTATTGTGATTATGTAGGGTGAACGTGCAACTGGTTATGGAGTAGCTTTATTATTGGTACTCTTTGGTTTTGCCAGTCATAACCCACTGCTGCAGTCATTATCAAAACAGATGCAGTAATTACCAATAACTTATATATTAAAGTTTTGCGATCTATCAAAATGTCCGCTAAACTATGTAGTGCATCACATTTTAGATCATTAGATTTACTTTGATTTATCCATTGGATTATAATTTGTGACCTTATTATTATTCAACTAAGATTTGGTTACTACATTCAATTATTTTGTGGCCTATGATAATAAATGTATGAATCTAAGTCTAAGTTATGATTGTACTCGTTTTAGTTGCTAGGAGGGCAATGTCTTCTAAATGTTCGAATAACAAATTTTGTTGTATTGCCATACATATGATATGATATTGCTACTGTAATTAGACTACTTTAGATCAATTAATTATTATTTTAGTCTTGGTGGTTTAATTTTGTAATATTTTTTGGCATTATGCCTTGTAATTTTTATAAAGTTTTCAATCCCTATTTTTGTGTTATGATGTAGCTAAGACGTCTGCTATTGTAATGATTAATCACACTCACTATAGAATTCGAATTAACTATTTTACTTCAAGTATTTAACATCATGATATTGTAGCATTGCATCCTGTGTACCAAACTAAAGCTGGCCTATTGATATACTTCTGCCTGGATACTGCGTGTTTAGTTAAAATGATACGATCGTTGCCTACCGAATTACTCGTCTTTTTATATTTTCGTTATGGAGTCTTAGTTCTACCTTTTTTTATGGTTAAGTGTTTTACGAATAAATAGGATAAATGCTATGAACTTTAGCCTAATTAATTTCAACATAATGTAGTAACTGAGACGACGTTGTTGAAAACTTAAAAAATACTCTGATTATTCAGATTCCCACCAACTTCTTAGATAACGACTGCATACGCTTAGAACTAATAAATATTAACATTATAGGTCGCTTGTGCAATTATCCAAATAGTTAAACCTCTGTTAATGACATATACAATGCCGATAAGTAATTTTAGTTTTGGAGCCTCAGCTTTATTAATAAAACTAATGTAAATCAGTCAAAACCAGAATTGAAAGTAGATGTACATTATCTAAAATGTTCGTAAGGTTGCAGTAACACATATCTGCTAATGGAACCAAATTTTTGCTTAAATACTTTCCTATTCTATTAAAAGCTGAGTCGGAATCGTTGTATCCAATCAGTAATATAGTTATTCTTCAAAGTCAAAGAGTATTATTTCGAATATACATAAGCTTACATTGGTTATTAATAAATTTAGACTGCAGCCAAAATAAAATTTTCACTGCGATTAATGAGCATTTTCTCCCGGAATCTATATGAAGCTTACACATTCTACGGACAGATATACTCATAGACATACTCGCATTGCCTGTTGGCGTCACCAAACTTTAGCCATCAATTAAATTGTTGAAACTGACCTACATACGTCCATTCACGGGTTTAAGTAATAAGGGGAAATAACATGAGGGTTAAATTACAATTGTCAACATGAACATTTATGTAACATAAATTACTGAAATAACAAACAAGCATAAACTTTTAAGAACTTGAAAAGAGATCGTTCGCAGCCGGAAGTGGTGCTAATCCGCCAGTTACATCAGGCAACAAACTTAGATCTGGCAAGCTTTCTATGTGAATTTTTAATTCCTTCTTGACTTTGGCAGTAGTTGCTAATTTTGTTTTACACTTCTGCATAACAAGACAAATGCAAAATAATGAGATTCATAGCTGACAGTTATATAACAATAGTTCCACTTTCAACGTACTTCCAGTTCTTTTTCTGTTTTTTCTAATTCTGCTTGATGTATAGTAATTAATTCGTCTAATTTTCGTAAACCTTGAGCTCGATCTTCTAGTTCCGCAGTTAGACGTCCATTGTAATCAGCGAGAAGGAGCACAGCTTCGTCAACTTTTTTTAGCAGTTTCTCTGCTTCCGCTTTACCTAACATATCAAAAAATTCTTAATATCAGATGTATACTAAGTGTTTAGCTGAAATTTTTAAAAATTAAGAAAGAGAAGCATAAGGAAAAGCATCATCTTACTTTGTATGCTATCAACACTACCAACGTCCTCGAATTCTTTTGGTAGTTCACTAATTTTCTTTCTGATTACAACGTCGCCCGAAGCAGACTGCTCTAAATCGCTTAAGCAACGCACCAACTCTTCAATCTGGGTCAAATATTATGAATAATGGCAAAAACGGCATTAAATACTTTATAAATTTCTGACATATTCTTTTAGCAGTCATTTAATTAAGATTCATGCAGTAAATATCAATTTACATAGGTGTAAACCATACTACGCACAGCTAGTCTACATCATACCTTTTACATGAACGATATGAATGCATTTGTACTGTATAAATTGTACCGTACATAAAATAAACAAACCGTAGGCTCAGGTCCAGATACACCAGATCCAGTATTAGGCGAACTTATCCTTTTTCGCTTTCTCTCCGGCTCATTATGAGAGGAGCTAGTTTTAGCGATTTCAGTTGCTATAATCAATTTCGAAAATAATATCATTTAAAATGAACTAACAGCATAGCAATCTCGATCTATTAACGGTCCCTTATTATTAGTGTGATGATTTATAATTGAAAGAAATAAGTATTTTGTTAACTGTTATATTCGCTTATCATAGTTTGAGTCTCATGATTTTTATAAGTATATGAAATCGCTTATCATAAAATTGCAACAAATTTAGAAATTAGTACAATCAAGCTTTAAATTTACATGTAATTACATTGTGGTCTAAGAATATGCCGAAGTTTCTCAACATATTTGCCGTCGAATACCACACGCTCTTCCCATATACTTAAGACACGCTCTGCTGCTTTTATTCCCTGAGAATCACTATCTTCCCTAAAAATAGTTATCATAATTTAAGACACGCAAATAAGTAGTTAGGGTTTAACAAAGAAAAGGTAACGTTATGTTAATCAAATCAAGATCGAACTGAAATTTTGAAGGTTTAAATATATAAGTTCTAGATATTTGTTATTATTTGTTAAAGATATCAAATTGTCTATCACTTAAGTTTTGTTTATATGAACAGACTGATTCATTTCAGAACAATTACAATAAGTAACTACTGTATAATTAAACTTACGAAATCGTAGCTACTATTTACGTTTGTCAATCGTACAAAACTGTGATGCTAATAGTACCCTAAACATGTTATGATGTTGTATCTAAGTTAGCATTGATATAGTTTGTAAATGAATATTCTTATTGATAATTATAATGTGCAGGCTAATCACTATCGCAATATTATATCGTATAATTTATTATTTAAAAGCGATTACCAACAATTATTATAATATATGATATTATTCAAAGACAACAGGTAATCATCAAACTGTGCCTAATGTACTTAATGTCTTCATTTCTAATCATTGCAAATACTAATTGCAAACGCAGATATCGTACAGTTTATACTGTAATTTTATAAAGAGTACAGTATAGTTGCTATAATATAATAAAATACAGAAGTTGCAAATTTTTGAATACTGACTCATTAAATATTGACTAAAGTCATTATACATGTACAATAACATTCGCAAAATATAAACGGTATTGCATCTTACCTTGCAAAATGCTGAAAGACATCCGGTAGAATATTATAGAATTCGCTATCAAATTCAGCTCCCTTCCTCTTGCTATTTTGCAATACGTCATTGGCAACGTATAGCATACTTAATCTTTTATTAGTTCTGGCTATAATAGTGAACATAAATGATATTTACTACCGCAAACGGAAGTCTTAGTTTTATTTCATTTTAGCTAAATCTGGAATTATAAGATAACGTAATCTGCTCACCATCTTTGCTTGCACTACAGTCAGTAGCATGTAGACTCTACTGTACATTGTAGAGTCTAATGAAGAAAGGTACTACAGTAATCTCAAGAGTCTACACACTTAGGTCGCCGTCGTGTTGTATTTAATCGTGTATGTTATTGTACTCCCTACAGTTCTAAGATAGGTTACCGATTTCGGGATCGAAACTATAATGTGAGATAACGTTGACTATGATATCAATTTTCAATATACAACCCATTTTGTTCTTTAACGACATCTCATTGTTGTTGATGTTTTTGTATAACATTTGTTAGGCTATATTGAAAGATGACTGGGAAAGTTGGACGTATAGCGGTAACTATAGAAAGAATAACGACACCGTATGTAGACTGATGAGATCCTTAAAGTAGAGTATTTACAGTATACGCGCAGTATATGTTATAGAGCAGAATTTCATGTTAGCAGCTATACAGTGTTTAGAGATTCTCTACCCTCCGATATGGTATCATGGCATGTACAGATTTTTCGTTAAAGAATTGTTATTGATGAATGTATAGTATATAATATATATCTAGCTAGCTTTTGTAACCATTAAGAGGTAACATGATTAATGCGATTAATTATCTGTACGTTATATTACTTCTATAATGTATTGTAAGTTACGTATTGGGTACAATATTTGACTGCGCAACTGAAACCGTCAATATCTAAAAATAGTTGTTACTGATACGAAAGTGCTCATCGTAACTGCATTGTACAGTACAACATACAGTGCACATGACTTAAAAATAGCGTTAGATTTGCTAGATCCTAGTGTAGTTATTTCAAAAGTATCAATAAGGTATAAGATATTACTCCAATTTTAAGATCATCTTTAATTAATCAAATGATGAGCAGCTCTCCACTTACGCTGTAATAATACAATAGCATCTACGCGTATTACATCATACAGCAACCGCACGGCACCATAAAGCAATATCAGGATTTTTACTGATGTTAGTGGTGTATGCTATAATATGCAGTACCTAGTACGTCATAATACGATATGAAGAAAAACGACCTAACGATTGCCGATAAATATGAAAAAATCTCGATATTCGCTACAAATTACACTATACGGCATGATATGAGCTATCTAGAGCTATCGTGCTAACAAGATAATGTGCAGCAAGTTATACCTTAATGATCAGTATCAAATCACCGCAATGGATTTGATTTCTACTCGTACAGAAAGGTCTTGAGCTAGCTACATCTGGATTGTACAGTACAATACAGTGTTCTATAATTTTAAGACAATAGTAACGTTAAAACTACTCCACTATCGCTACCTTTCTGAAATTCTTGATGCCAGACTTCAACAGCAGCTTTTGAATGTTTTCTATGATGCATCATCCATAGAGATAGAGTTTGTACACTCTGTTGCGAGTTCGATAATTCAGTTAACCTTTTCTCTAGAGCTGCACTACTGAAAGAAGCCATTCCAATCCCATCTGGAAAGTACCACTACAAGACTAAAAATATCACGCCGACTGCAATCAAACAGAGATTGCTCGACAATAAGAAGAGAAATACAGTTTATCCAAATTGACACAGTAGATATATGAATTTTCTATACAGCTACGACTTCTGTTGCACCTGAAATCTAGATGATACACTAACAGCTTTGATGCGTGTTATCACCTAAGTACAGTACGTACTTTAACGCTCAGTATCCTGCTACTGTACAGTGTACAGTACAGTACAGTACTGTAACATACAGTACAGTATATTGTACTCTATTCTACACTGTACTGTACTGTACTGTACTGTACAGTGTACAGTACAGTGCGGTACCGTTCAAGTGTATGTACTGTACTATACTGTACACTGTACAGTCCTGTACAGCAGTGTTGTCTACCTTTAAAGTCAACAATCAGGAATCACAACTAACTTGTATTTTTTCCCAATACTGTAATAAGGGACTTTTGTTCGTCTTATTTGAACTCTCTTAGAAGTCACCGGAGCAGTACTCTGTCACTAAAATTTTAAAAATATTTTACGTCAACGATTCCATACGGCATAGTAGAATGTGAATGATTCTGTGATTGATCCTAGTTAGTACATACTGTACAGTACTTGAGAGTAGAGACCTGTATCCGAGCAATCTAACCAAAAGAAAATCTATGAAATAATCTACACTGTATGAACATACTGTACAGTACTGTATATAGCACTCAGTGCATTGACAGCAAATCAGTTATTGAACAGAGAGACATCTGTTTTACATACAGCTCAGTTCAGTACTTAAGAGCTAGCAACGTAGAACTGCCGTACACAATCCTAGCTTTACAATAGACCATAGCCCTAAGCATCTCAAGACATCTATTTTACGTCTACCCATGTTCACTATAGCTGTTAAAAACGTTGGTTACATTGGAACTGCATCTTACACTATAGACTATAAACAGCTCGGGACATAACTATTATAATTATAAGTGGAATATGATGCTTTCCGTAGAGCAGTTTCAACGAGATGTACGAAACACTAAATTTCGAAATAGCCAATCTACTGTACAGTATTAACTACACTACTGTAGATTGAGCACTACAAAGGGAAAATATGACCAATCTCCGTAGTTAATAAGAGTTGCATTTATAAGAGCAATATTTAATCGAAATCAATTCACTAGAATAATATTGCACATCAAATTTCTTCTACACACAGATCCAAAATTTATAACTGTACAGTATAATGTACACTGTAAGATGTAATATTGAACGATACCAGTATGAAAACTATGTTTTAATTTATTGTTAATTGACTGTAAGTAAAGTAAAACAAATTAAAATTAAAGATACGTAACACAGTGCGTATATATATATACTGCGCAAGTTTTAACGATATATTAATTATATTATTGTTCTAACTATAAATACGCGTAGACAGTAAATATGCATGATATATTATATATACGTATATGTACGCGTACACACCGTTGTAGAGATTAATAATTAAAAAAACAATAACTGAAAACAACGCAAAAATATGTGTATACCGACAAGCAACGATGGTAAATAAATTGGGACTTGTTAACAAATTAAATACCGTAATTTACGCATACAGATCAAAGTCCAATACCATGTTTTGTGATCTTTGTACGATGATAAGCCAACGTAAAAAATAAAAAACGAGACTAGGATTGTAACATTACTCGATTATTATTTGTATCAATTCATTCGTAAAATCATGTCAGTTAACAGCAAGAGGATACAAGTAAGAAAACATGTCAAACTAGCAAATGATGAAAATTGGAAATGTAAATTAGATATTTGGAAAGCTAACGAGTCTTGGTCTGACGACTGCAAGACAGTATTTCAAGAATTGTCTAATCTAGGAGATGACTGGGTTCAAGTAGCCGTAATCTGTGAGGATCCAGGCCATCGATGCTATTTTAACTGCCATGATGAACAAGATAAAGTTTTCACAGTTGCAATGTTTTACTCCAAATCTAGAAATCGTATCCGAGGTGTAGCACAATTCGGACAATATTCACAATCTGCTTCAGGTGTTGTTCATACAGGGGCCCTCTCAACAATAATTGATACAGTCTCCGGAATTTTAATAAATTTAGTTTGTGTTGCGGTCACAATTAGCATGAGCATAAGGTATAAACAAATCTTACTTATCGAAGAATCAGCTCAATTTAACTGCTGGATTGAGAGAACAGAAGGTAGAAAAGCTATAGTTAAAATGGTTATTACGTCTATCGATAAAGGTAGGACATTCGCTGAAGGAGAGACTGTTTGGATGATACCAAGAAATGGTTAATATCAAAAGTGCCTGCCAGGATCACTATGGATGAAAACTATCAAATTTTTTTATTTGCAATGTATCCGTAAACGCCAATAATTAATTAAAATATTATTTGAAAGCATTTCTTATGGTTAAGAAATACTTACTGCAATAAAATTTTGATTAGTCCTGTAGAAATTATCTAACTACAGAATATACCATACGTACATTAACAGTAGGTATACACGTAAATAATTGATCTTATATCCTATTACGACATTGTAATATATTTAGTATTACTCTAATTGTGAAGTACTGTACAAACACGTACATGTGATTATTACTTAGATAAATATCCTAAGGTTACAGCATAAACGTGCACTTTCACCAAATAGACAATCCTTTACCAATTCGAATTTGTATAAAATCAAACTAATAAACTGATACATGAACAGAATCGTAAAATTGTTCTTTATACAAGACAATTTGAATAATTAATACAAAGTCCTAAAATGCAGATCAAGATTTGATCTACACAACATAATGAACTTCCTATTCATAAGCAATAAAATACCGCCGTAACAATTTTGTAAACAAACTCGAATTTTCCGTACTTTGATCATAGCTCTTCTGATATCTCAATTCCCATGGCACTTCGTAAGGATTCCACTGAAATTAAATTGCCAGGTTGAACCTAGCATAATTAATAAATTACATTTAAGCTTATGGCGCCATAATTTAATTATTATTGAATCTCAACAGTAACACAAATTAAAAGCCATATATCATCTATGTGCTAATATTTAGTTATTTTTTACAGCTACGTATACTTACTAAGCCACTAAGTTGGGTAAGATTATCAGCTAACTTGTTAGCTATGAAAACAGTTGACAATCATTATAATTAAAAAAAAAAGGAGTTACTATAGTATAGTAAAATTGAGCTTGATAAAGTCCTATTAAAACCTACCTACTGCTTTCTCCTTGTCACTCATATCTTCAATTTTTACCAATACAGTTTTACCTCCAGTTAATCCTACAGCATGCGGTTTGGTAAGTCTTTCCGTTTGTATCTCTTTCAATTCTCCCAAAAGACGAGTATTTTCATCGAGTCTTTCTTTCACAGAGATGGAGTAACTATAAAATCATATAAACCATATGAGTCATGGCACTACTTCTTTAGTTCTATATTATAACCTAATAAAACTTATAAACTTCACCTGTTATCAACCGCTTCGACACTATCCTTCTCTCCTATAACATACAGAAATTTAATTAACAATTTTAATTAAACGTAATAGAAGACCGATTATTTTCTAATATAGGAAAACCAAAAAGGTCTATATTCTGCGCACCGAGTTGATTTGTTAAAAATGAGATGTCAATACCATCTTTACCCAAGGATAGTATAGGTGCTAATTCGTTATCAGTTTTATAATCACTCATGTCATTTGTTCTGTTCTCAGTTCCATATTCAGTCTTATTATCGACATTAGTATTCGCGTTATCAGCATCAGTTAAGGAACTATCAGCATTCTTAACTGATGTATCGGATTTTTCGTTCATTTTATTATCATCTGTAGTGCGATCTACCTTTTCAGCCATATTAGCCTTATTATCAGTATTACCATGCTCTTCAACAATTTTGGATTCGTTATCAACTCCTCCTTCTCTAGTTCCGCCTTCAATTTTGGACTTGTCATCCATTTTATCATCTCTCTCCTTAATATTCTGAAGGTGATCAATTGCAAAGTTATAGTAAGTCAAAAATAAATAAAGCATGCGTTATTCAGTTAAAACTCACTTCGGATTTAAGACCAGATGAGGATTTTGAAGCACTAAATGTTTCATTTTCCTTCTAAGGAAACAAAGATAAAACCATTGAATCCCATTTTAACAAAATAGTTAACATAGTAAATCTAACCAGTTTAAAGCGCTTTATCACTTTATTATGCTCGCCATCAGTCATACTATTGAGGATATCATCAACAAAGTCCGTCATATATGATGAACAATTCCTTACAAATCGCTGCAAACTAACGCAGAAAAGAAATTAAATATCAAACAGCTTCGCTAAAATGAATTAAACATCACCTAACTAACCTTCTACTATAATTTAAGGCGGTACTATTTCCGTACGCAGACAGAATCAAGTCCGAGTCATCTTTGGATAAATTTGAAGCCGTTGTGTCATAAATTGGAGCAAATGATGAAAAGTTTCCATAACGTAGGTACTCAACTACGAAATAAAATTTATAGATACATTACGATATTTTCAGCAAGATAAATTTGAAATAAGGGCAGATTAAGATAATTGTATACTATTCGTTATTACCAGGCTTAATTTGTTTTACTTGCATGCTTTTAAGATCATTCAGGGATTGATTACTGGTAGAAACTATAGGGCCTTTCAATGACTCCAGATTAACCTTTTTATCGGCAATAATTTCGTATTCATCATCTGAATGATATTTTAAACATTTTTATCATGATTGCTGAAAAATTTTTAAAATATCTAAAAGGTATTAAAAGCACAAATCAGCATATAGTAACCTGCGTTACTAGGGTTGACTACAGATAATACAGTTGTTCCATCTCGTTTTCGTTTAAAGTGCCCATACTAATAAAAGAAGACAAACCATAAACCCACATCAATATTTTTTCTATTGCGGAAAGTTGATTTCTTACAGAACCTCATATCAAAAACACTGTCATCTTATATATACTAACGTTCGTTTTTATTGATTGCTTAGCTATATTGTTAGCTGCTTCCTTAGCTGCTGCTTGCACTGATGTTGTTAATTGGCGCTTTGCTGCTGTAAACTGATGATCTTGAAAATCTTTTCTGGCATCATTTCAAATAGAACTTATGTCAACAAGCCGTAACAGGGTATCCGTCAATTGTGACAGGTGGAAAAGGAATAAAGTTAGCTTAATTACTTACTTTTTTCTGTTCCTTGTGCTTTTCGTCACATCTTCTCCAATATTGACAACATCTACATCAATCGATGTCTGTTCACTTACACCTCGTCTTTCATTTCTCGTTCCTTGGCGTTTCTTATCATAAGATAGATGTTGCTTTTTTGAAGTATTTTCGGGTCGACCTTTATCATTACTCGTTAAACTATCAGATATTACTAGATCCGATTTTGTCTTCATACTATTACTTGTATTTAAACTATTTCTTTTATGAGATATCCTTAGAGAACTATCAGTACTCCTTCGACTTCTACTACTAATGTCATTGTCTTGAATTTTTTCAGGTTTCATTTCGTTATATTTCTCCAATAGTTTTTCGTGTTCCTTATAGCGATGAGATAATTTTAACTTCAAAAAAGTTTTCTATATCCATCAATACATGAGGTGTGATAAACTACAAACTTTACCTTGCTTATCAAAATTAATCCATCATCCCTCATTTTTTTGGCACACTTGTAAAAAATCGTACTGGAATCGTTGTATGTCATTGCGTTATTACACATTAATTCAAAATCGCTCTAGTTTCAATAAAATTGAAAATTTAGTATAATATTTGAATAATCCACCCATAATTGAACCCTACATATGTACCTGAAATTCGTCTAACGCATCATAGCGATTGACTTTTTTCTTAATGGTACTCAAATCCATAGGATTGGAAATAATTTTTGAATACCCAGGAGCAACATCATCAGTAACAGGTTCAGCGAATATTGAATCAACATCTTTTCTGCAATTTTGGCAAGTGCATATTGACGTTATTGAAGATAGAGAAATTAAATACCGCAAGTAATCAAAAATATAATCTTATCAATTACCTTTGAAGGGTTCGAACAAGATTCAGTAATGATAAACGTAAGATCCGCTTATTAGAACCTTCTATAAAGAGATACAGATGTTATGAGCAGTGCAGAAAAGTAAAAAGTGAAGATGATTCCAATATTTGGATAGTGGTTACTGGTCAGACTATGAAGTAATTATAGAAAACAGAATTAATCTAGGTAATTGAACTATTTATAAGATTACAGATCATATCATTGGCGGGGTTACAGAGTACGTACCGATATCCTCTGGTGATAAACTTGGTTCATCTATAATATTTATTGGTTTCTCTCTAAATAACATTAAATAAATCAAAGCAATTAATAACTATCGACGATATAACGACACTTAACAATCTACGGACATACCGAACGGGAGAAATTGATTTTTTCGATTTCTGGCTGCTCTCAGGCATCGGCTTGAAAATTAATTTACTGACTTTGGTTTTTATAGGTGTTTCATCTACATCCTTGGTAAATGAAGTGACTTCCTTTCGAGATTTACTTGAGGATTTCACTGCTAATTTATCTAGTTTTAACTTTATCTTTTTAGTCTTGGGTTTGTCTAGCAATTCCTGCTCATCATCGCCTGACGATGTCTGCGAATAAGGTATTCAAGATTAGCTAAAGTATTAGGCTTAACATCTTCCTTTATATTCAACCAATATCAAGGACAGCGCATGTTTTTCTTATGCTCTGAATAGTTTTTCCATACTGTATTGAGTACTTTGCTAAGCATACTTAAAATTGCAGAATAGACGGTATAATAATGTATGATACTACTTATAAAAATATCATATTACAGCAACTCAGTGATGTATCAATCAAGCTGCCCTAAATTTTAAAATTACCGATTCAATGTCCGATTTACGAGCAGCAAGTTTACGTTTTCTACTTCCACTATTGCTCTTAATACTCGAGGTGCTCTTTTCACGGGCGGTACTACGCGTCTTAGAAGAAATGGAGAGTTCCGTTTTACTTTCCTTGGTTTTATGACTAGCCTTTCCACTAGCTTGATTTACTGTCTTCTTCGAATCACGTTTTTTGCTCTTAATGACGGTATCGCTTCCAACTTTTAATACCAATTTAATCGGAGCAGCCGATGGAGTCTTTTTTTTATTGCCTACATCAAAATAAAATTACAGCATTAATGTTGATACAATTGACACTAGCTTCATATGAATCAAAGTGATGCGGATAATGTAGCCCGTTATACCACTACGTTTAGTCATATCAATAACCTGTAAAGGTAATACATGCAAATAATGCAAAGTGAATTTTGCGAATACGCATATAGCAACATTTTAAACAAATTAGGATACATATAACAATAAACTTTTATTTTTTTGCTTCATACGAAACTCGTAAACTATAAATTCAACTAATAGAAGAACTACATTCCCATTCATTCAATAAAATTGATGATAAAGATTGCAATCTCGCACAATAAATAATAATATATTCAGATCACTTGGCCTGCACAATTTATTTGATACCAATAGTATCGCTGCGACTACAAAATAAGCACAAAGCTCTATGTGCATGATTTGCGCTAGCTGTTCATAATTTAATGTCCAGCTTGATTTAGGTATAGAGAGCTACTAGATCATTCGCTACCACACTCTGATGCCCAATATAAACACTGGATTTGATTACTCATAAATAAGTATAATTCATAAATAATCGCTAGTAAACGTATAGTACACTATAGTGAAGAATATAAGTACATTATAAGTATAGTCGAAGTTTATCTTTGGTTTCTAAATGACGTAGGTATAATTTGCGTATTGTATACTATCATCCACTAATCTGCTAAATTAAGCACTTAAATGAAAATAGTAAGCTAACTGTAAAACTTGTCCACATTTCCTCATACTGACTGAACCGTCAGTAATAGCTCAGTAATTCCCGTTACTTAAGTTTGCCTCCTATCCAGTCCATCAACTGTTCTACCAGTATTTTACGTAGCACCAATAACATCGAAGGAGTTTTACTGCGGTAAGCAGTAAATACTTTCGGTTCTATCATTGATGCAATCACACTGCAAGTATTTAGTCTTACTACCACTTTTTATGATCAACTTTGTCGATATTAGTATAGAAGAAGTATCATGAAGATGCATACAGTACAGTAAATATTGCATAAATTTAAGCTATGTTTGATCCATTGCATAATAGCTAAGCCTTCAATCCGGGGTAGGGCAAATACTCGCGGGAAATGAGATATATTGAGATGGATACGAATTATTGAGACAACTTGTAAGAGATTATCCGTGGTTTAGTTACGGAAAGTAAAATTTAAACATATAGAGCTAACTTTACGAGCCATTCTACTGAGCTAAAATTGGACTAGTGAAAGGATAATACATGATATAATTACACTTGTAATATTATAATAACTCTTTCTTTAGAACACAGCATATGATTCTACCGTTTTCATTTTTCCTTTCTTTTTTCCACACATCGGTGCATCTGATCATAATGCTATATAACAGTATATAGACTCCGTCTACAGTCTCAAGCCATAGAGTAGTTAAAGTGCAAATTATATCGGTAAAACAGCGTAATCATAATTATTGTTACTTATTGAATTATTTAATAACTAAATCAACCTTTTACCTCATCTACACATGGTTAATACATTACTATAAGCATAAACGTCAATGCAATGCGTAAGCACCTGATAAATTTTTGGAAGCTTCAGGTCTTTCTTTTATTTTTTTAGCTGCTTTTCTTGCTTTTTTTCGATTCGCCATAAATAAACTAAGAAATGCTGTACTTACTGAGGGCTAAATTGAAATGAATTACTGTATTGATCGGGGCAATCTCTGCAAAGTCTTCCGTCCAAGATTGATGATTTTCCTGTCAAAATGTACGAGTGCTGTCGGCTACCATGGGTTGATAGCCGTATCTGTCAAGTGTACAAACCTTACCGTACTATATACTGTATAGTACTGTATTATACAGTTATGCTGTTCGTGCAGTTCTACAGTACCGTACTCGATTACTGTACAGTACTGTACAGTACACTGTACTGAACAGTACTGTAGGTGTGTACTGTACTGTACTGTACTGTACTGTACTGGTCATGAAGACCTCTACAGTGTACAGTGTACAATACAGTACTGTATGTACAGTACTGTGCGAGTGCTTCATACTGTACTGTACTGTACTGTACTGTACAGTACTATACGGTATTGTACTGTACTGTACTGTACAATTCTATTGTTGATTCGTACAGTACCTTCAACTGTGGAGCTTGCCCTAGCCGGAGACATGTCACACAGGCTACTAAAGGACTAAAAAAACATAAGAAAAAAATCTCATGGGAAGTATCCTCTACTATTTCACGGACTGAGTTCGGACTTCTCTACACCTACTGTATAAAATAAAAGCAGATTAGAACTCATCTGAGTACTTAAGTGACTTGATCAATCCTTAGAAAACTAAAAAAGAGAGTGGCCGGCTGTACATTGTACAGTACAGTACTTTACACTCTGGTCCTGAGTACTGTACTGTACGGTACGGTTTCGAATTTGGCGGCAAAGATAATCTTCTCTAGAACCTGTACACTGTACACTGTACAGTGTACACTCATTATACTGTACAGTACTGCACAGCCAGTGAGCTACAGTACTGTACTGTACTGTATTGTACTGTACAGTACAAGTACACAGAAATGCAGTAAAGTACTGTACAGTACAGTACTGTGCGTGCTTCATTTTGTAGAATACAGTACAGTACTGTAGTCTCTGCTCGTACAGACAGTACGATGGACTAAACAAGCTACTATACAGTGTACAGTACAGTATAGTACCGCTCATACGACAGTGTGCACTTGATAAGACTCTGCCAGTCAGCAACAATGGCCTCCAGCAAAACGAATCAGTGATTTATAACCTTTATAACCTGAAAGCTCCTAGCAAATAGCAAGCAGAAGTTATTTGTACCTGCTATTCGCCTCGAACGCACTATTTTTGATTAGTAGTGCAGTAACTATTTGTGCTACTGTACTTTGACAACCTATATCAATACTGTACGTGTTTGATGTTCTTGTAGTCATTGCAATCGGTTACAGTTTTTATTAATTATTGATCGCAAATGGCCGAGTTACCTGCAGTAAAGGTTAATCAAATCAGACAATTGATACACGACCAAATGACGCAACTGAACATAAATTCTGTTATATCTCGTGTTATTGACGAATTAATGCAAGAGGGAAATCAAATCGACGAGAACCAATTGTTAGAAGCTTTACGACAGCGTGGTATCGTTGACGAAATTGTGAAATCACTCAAATTCCAGGATAATCAAACAACCACCAAGGAAATGACCGATAACTATAATAATCAAGCGGTACAATCAAGTGATTTAGCGAAAGTACCAACTAATGGTAATAATTATAATACATCACTGTGCCATATTATATTACCTTGAATTTGGATATGATATAGTATGCAACTACCGTTGCTCCATGTACTACACTTGATATACTGTACGTATAATAATGTTTACTTTATTTATAGTAACTGCAATTTACCTTTGCTGAAAATAACAATAATTCGCTTAGCTCAACTGATTCAATTTTATATTGTATATTGCCAATAGTGAAAATTGATCCTTCTAAACGATATTTGTACGTCCAAATGTTGGGAGGTAGAGCTTTCCTAGAGCATATTTTAGACGAAGATAGAAGTACAGAAAAGAATTATAACGGGACACTTTCTATTCATATTCATTTTCGTCAGCAACGATTTCAATCACGTCCTATTCTATGTGCGTGTGAGCCCGATTTAAGGGATGGGTTCTTACTGCAATTGCCACAACATAAAGTTTCTGCCAGAAGTGATCCGACATCTTTACTATCTATTGCTGAACCAATCCATTTACTTCTAATTCGAAATGAACCTAATGGCGACAAAACTTTGTTAAGCTCGACTTATCTAGAATGGAGGAAAGTATTAAGTTCCTCACATAATCGTTGGACGACTGCTGTTGAATTAAATGGTATCGGCCCTGAAGCTAAGCTATCGGTTGGGCTATTAGATCTGAAAATAGAATTAATTCCTCGCAGTCTAGAGGAATTATCGAAAGATGTGGTTGAAGCCCAATTTAAGCTCGAACATAATCGAGCTACTGAAAAGGAACGCTTGTTTTTGGTCTATGCTAAACGATGGTGGCAAGAATACATCCAGATCAGACCAGTGCATAGCAAAAGACTCGTCAAGATATTCGCCCAAGATGAAAATGCAGTGAATCGTTTCGTTTGCTCATATTTAAAACCCTTAAGATCTCAACGTTTCCTAGATACACCGCGCCAAGCCGCTCGATTTGTTAGCCTACTTGCGTATGAAGAAGCGCCTATAGTTGGCGGAGGCAGTCGAAGCGAAGTTTGGAGTAATACGTTGGCATTTTTGTGTAAAAAGAAAGGCGTAAGTCACTATATAATTTTGCTATCTTATCCCACAATGAAACTATCATTATACCTAATATTACTAAATTACTTGCATTAAATATTTTAATAGGACTGCGAAGATCATTCATTGTTACTTTGTAGTCTTCTCGTTGGCTTTGGATTGGATGCTTATGTTTGTATTGGTACTAACGCGAAAGGTTTATTTTGTACCTGGGTTGCTACGATTGGAGTCGATCATTCAGTTGTATTTTGGGATAGTTTAACTGGCCAAAGGTATACGACATAGTAACTTGGGATCAATGTATACATACAGTATGAATATAGCTATAAAAATCTATTATTTGATATATCTAATTGCACAGATTTAACCATAACCCAATCAATCCAGATGATCCACCGTTAAAAAAGCAAATCAAAGTTGATCATCCTTTTAAAACAATTGGATCGGTCTTTAATCATAAATCGTTTTACGCTAATTGTCAGGTGAAGCATCCTTATGTGATAAAAGTTAACCACACTGTATCTATATGTCGCTCATAAAACATATCATTTTTATTAATGTAGCCATCGGATAATGTTGACTGTTGTTATTTCGAGCTCAACAAGGAGACAAAATGGAAGGCTATGAATGAAGATGTTATTAAATCAAATTGTGAAAATATCTTAGTGGTATGTGCAAATCGTTCGTATGATATATCATACTAGTCGATACATTAGAACTTAACTAATCCAGTATCATGAACATCCTGTTGAGATAATACTATTACGTAATTATGCAGCCATCTTGGGCTACGGCACCACCCTTATCCCCTTCTAAAATTGATCCAGTGATTATTAGCGCTGAATTGGAACGAGAATTACAATCTTTAATAACTGATTACAGAAAGGTAAACGAATCCGCATGATAAAATTTATTTCCGGGTATTATTAATGACTGCGTTTCCTACCTTAAAAACAATCGACTTGATAGCTATAGTTAATTTATCAATAATTTATATTTCAGGATTTAGATCTATCGACCATTTGGGATGATAATTTAAGCTATATCTTAACATCGGCGTTAGCAGCATATGAATTAGAGAGGTGTACTGGTATTTCTATCGGAAATGAAGAATTCCAGCATGCTATAAGGAGAGCAGTACCTGAGAGGCATACGTTTAAAGGTTTTCCAATTCAGTTTGTCCATCGAGATATGAGAAGAGCCCTCGCCTCGTCATTGAAGTACGTCTAATAATTATATTGATATTAAAGTTATACGATAAGACACTCAGACAACATTGTTTGGGCTATAAACTGCTAATAATCTTTTAACCTTAGATCGCCAGTGTGTGAAGAAATACTAGGTTGTCGGGGTGATTTGGTCCGCTTAGCACTACGAGTGAGAATTTTTACCTACGCTGAAGATGTATCTGCCGTATGGATAATGTTTGCGGTAACATATCGTTCTGTGCTTTAGTGCGATACATACCCACAGCAAGCTATGAACTCCGAAAAGCAGGGAATGAATACCACACGACTAGTTACTTCATCGAAAATTTTTAGATTTATAAAGAAATAGGTTATATTTTAACTTAATTGATTTAATTTATGAGAGCCTTATTACAAAGTTTAATGATGGAAACGCTATCATTTTACGACTATTACTGTATAAAAGACACTTGATATACTCGTAAAAGTCACAGATCTTTGTATTAATTAATTAATTAATTGTGAAACTTTTAAAGAGTGAAACATTATTTTATTATATAAACTCCGACACGAATTATTTCAATTTTTTTCTTTTATAAATACTATTCGCTACTTGTAAGCTGTCTTCTATATTATATATTACGTTAAATGTCAATGTCTGTACGTGCGACATTGCACTAAAGATAAATGTTAGCACACAACTATCCTATCTACACCATTGTAAGTAAAAGACTACTGTGAATGAGTAAATGATTCTATAGCGTTGCGTTATTGACACTAGGTTGAAGACAAAAATCCATAAATTGCTGTACGTATGCTACAGAAGATAACCGGATTTGCGATCAATCATACACCTTAAGTAGAATTTCGCATTTAAGATAGAATTATACACTACAAATAATCAAGATTTCATTCAAAGACTGCTCTTTTAGTATAAACTTCTTCGTACTAACAAGTACAGCGATTTTATAAATTTTAAACAGTACGGTAGAAGCCTTATGAAGATTGACAAGGTATGCAATGTTGCAATCTCGATTTAATCAGAAGTAGCTCTTACTAACCTTGAATCACTGTCAATGTAACAGCATATTTAAAGATTACTCTAATGACCTAAAATCTACAGAGTACCCACAAGTAGAGGTATAATCATATATTAAATTAACTTATATGTGTAGAATTATAATCTTAGAATTCAATATACTGCATAATTAATTAAATATAGCTAAACTTTTCAAACCAATGGTTGAAAAATCCACAGTATACGATATATATGAAAGAGTATCGGTAATAACGTCTCTGTAAGTATCAGAACCAAAAAGAAAAGGTTGCAAAGCGGCCTTAGTAACAATTTATAAGCAATATATTGTAATGTCCATACTAGAGTATTGCATGAATTTCACCTCTATAAGAAATGGAAACTAATGGATGAAAGATTAAAAATGTATAGTGAAATGGTCTACAAATACTACGATCATGAGTGTAGCTGCTGTTATTAGAATATTAATCGCCATAAATGACTTAACTAAATTCTTAGCTGTACTATTTTATAGAATAAATTTAACATTTGCATAAAAGCAGGGGATATAATTTTTCGTCCTCTTGAATAAAATTTATTTTTATATTAATTTAATTATGCTGCAATATCTCAATTAAGTTCCTCTAAACAACCTAAATTTTCATTATTAGTAATGGAGCTGAGGTAGATATGAAGGATAAAAATCGATTTATTAAGTGAACACTTAAGTCTAAACTAAAACGAAATACGATTAGTAATATCGAAAATGATTCACTGAATAGTTAGTAAATCACTCAATTATTTAAAGGTATTACGGATCAGCCTAAATAACTAATACATCGTCTGTCCTTTTAACAATACGCATTATTAACATAATTTATCGGCCTAATCGAAAGTAAAATTATCAATGACGAACTATCGCACTGGATAATCAAATATAGTCCAAGTCATTTATTGGACATTTTATCTGGTAAATAGGTTGATTGCTCTTTACATTTATTTTAATTGATCATAGAGTAAACTAGCGATTGAACATTGCGATATAGAAAAATTTCAATGAATAAATTCCTGTCATATCATCATTGATTAATTATTTAATACGGTATTCGGACAAGTATTGTACTGTAGAGCCATTATCGTATTATTGATGTAATATGTAAGAATATACCTAGCTTTTTAATTGTGGTTCATTTTCAAAGTGATGTCTGTGATATCGCAAACAATGAGGATAAATTCAGACCTATAACAGTAATTTCCTGTAGATTCTTTAGATTCAATACTGTATTCTATTCAAATCAGCATGATAATGACATCGCTGATATCATACTTCCATTAATCTAATGATGATATATGATAAAATCTCGATTCAAAAGTATGATCAATTTCTTTAAACCGTATACGAGAGTCTAGAAATTTTAAATTGACATCTTACTTTATTAAGTTTGATGGGTGTAATTTTAATTTCTCTGATCTGAGTCAGATGCTATTCTTTTCGTACAGTAGAATGTTCTTTAATCGCTTTAAACATTAGCACTAAAATAGTCATTATTGCTTTAAAGATGTAAATCTTAATTAAAGGCAAATATTTAATTTATGGTGTGCACCAGTACCAGTTTAGCATTGTTTCAATTGAAATAAACCAAAACTTGAAAAAATTAAATTAAAACGGTTGTTTTCACATGGTACGATAAATTGATCTACAAGATAAAAGATACTTGATAGAATTAGAAGATAGGCGTAAAACGCCGCAGATACATACACATCTATATTAGTTATATAGTTATTTTAAACATTATTAATTCAGGATTAGTAGCTTCTAAATGCAATAACATTTACTACTGATTCTAAATATCAATTATTTGACAAAAAATTTATATTACATTACACATTCAAATACATCCTAATATTAATAACTTTAACAATAATTTTCATTAAATATCAATCTGTAGAGATATTATCAGCTTTTAATCAACTAAGTTTCTTGCATTTGAAGTAACGGATCTCTATTCGAGCTGTGAACAATTATCTTAACTGCTACATAGTAGTTAAAATTTTGATCAAGTTATTAGAAATATAATGATTTATTACTATTTTTGAATTTTTTATTTTCTTTTCTGAAAGTCCTTAACTAGACACCTGCATCAACTAATATTTCAAGGAAGAAAAAGAATTTACAAGTTAAGGTGAAGCCAGGTGTTAATCAATTTTGATAGAAGTCTAATGAATTAAACGGACAATGAAAACCAATCCGGTCAAGTCTTGACGTTAATTACTGCCGAGAATTTTTTTGAACGCTGTGTTGTGGGTTACAATGAATAAATACATTTTCCAACGGTAAAATTGTTGTGATTACTAGAGATAAGTTGTAGAAGTATGGACTGATTTAAGACTATAATAGCCATAATATAACGGTCTTTGCTTCAATTACAGGAAAATCACGCACACATCATAACATTTCTTTTGTAATAGACAGTACCAGATAATAAAAGAGCTAATCTCACTCTATAATTGATGAATTTGCTTCTGACCGCCGTCAAATACAACTATAGTTTATTTGAGCATTTTTGTATTGACAGATAAAAGATAAGTATCAGTATTTACAGTCTTTAATCATTATTTAATTGGAGTTAAATTACTTTTCACTTCTCTAATTTGTCGTATAAATCAAAAAAGTTAAAAAAGTTCTTGCTATAATTATTGTAATCCAACTTAGCAAGTATTTATTATTGATGATATCAAATATCTTACAGTATAAAAGAATCGTATACTCTTAAAAACGGCTATGATTAATTTAATTTAATGATATAATGTACATCCTTGTATCATAGGGGATAATTATGTCTGGTAAGCAATAAAATAATGCTGCATCTTATTATAATAATGACAATAACAATAATGATAACAACGATTTCTTATTACGCGATTTAAGTACAGCAAAATCTACATGATAATACCAACATAAAGCTGGGATATTAAAATAAGGCATTAATTTATGTTCAATAATAGAATTATGACTTACTACTATTGTCTCCAATAAAACTGGAGAGGATAACCGTAAAGTTATGAACGATAATAATCGTAATTTAAAATATAAATAGAACTTGATTTTAGTCATATGAACACTATTTGATTTGCATTTATGAGTTAAATTAAACATCTTTATTTATGGAAGGAGTAAAATTCATAAAGTTGAATTATATTCAATTAAATAATACCAAATAATTTCCATTTACAAGAAACGATATCCAATATATAAAAAAAGCTACGCAGTAATTTATTATACTATTAGCATTGTTTATTAGTAAAAGCATAACTGCTTTGAATTATCTCTAGTAAAATGGAGAGGATAATCGTAAATTTGTAATAAGATAATCATTGCAATTTAAAAGGCTAACAGAAATCAATCTTAATCTTCCAATATCATTGGATTTCTATTAATGGAAAAAATTTAAACATTCATTATTCATAGAAGGAATAGAATGTGTAAAACTGAAGTACACACTTCTAAGTGATAATAACTTATGACCGTCGATAAGAAATAATATTCAACAAGAAAAAAATGTTACAAAAGTAATTTGACTATAATAGTATTATACCATCAATTTAAACATCTTTGATCTCGAAAGATTAATTATTATTGATGATAATCTTTCAGCAGACAAGTTAAGGATTAAAAGCATAGGAAACTCCTTTTTGCCGATAGCGGGATGGCATTGATTTCTTACTAAGACATAAGAGCTTGCGAATAACAGCTACTAATGGTTTATGATAGTAATAATTTGCGGCAGTGTAGAGAACTGGATGAAGAAAACATTGAAATATAACTAAAGTTTTAGTTACGGTCGTAAGTGTATAGTTATAAATAAAGGGATCATAGTGAGCTATTACTACGTACAACTGATTTGGCATCCAACAGATAAATATACTAATAGCAGCAACTAGGGAAACCGTCGTAACACGACGACGCAAACGATGATATTTATAATCATCATTATTAGATAATACAAGTGAAAAGCGCATACGATAAATAAGAATCACATAGCAATATAGCGTGGTTGAAGCAGGTAGAAGAAATTGTAATATAAATAATACAAATTGTAAGGATTTATCAACTAACTGGCCTCCAGGAAAAGGTCTCCAACGACAAGGTGGCCAATCTGTAACGACATGATATGTATGATACAAGCTGGGTAAATTAAGCAAACAGCCCCATAACATAACAAAGGTAATCATTAGTTTACTACGATATCCGCTAAAAATTATTTTATAATCAGTTGATTTCTTGATTAGATAATACCTTTCAAGGCTAACTAAAGCCATCAAATAAATAGATATCGTACATGCTGATGACTTCAAATAACCGGAACCAAGTAATGGGCAAAAATAGACTCGAATAAAGGCATCATCTTGGTGTATATTATTAAAGAACAAGATTCTTAAAGTCATCACATCCCAAGTTGATAATAAAATCATAAATCCAATAAAGATATCCACCACAGCTAGTGTAAATATAAACTTTCCTGATGATCGCCGAAATAGCCTTGGTGTAGCGATATACACGATGCATACCAAAATGCTACCTAAAATTGTTAGTAAAGTTATAATCAAGTAGATAATATCAGCAACGATATATTGATGATTAAATTGGGATCTTGGTCCCTCTGTTCGAAAGTGGGTATTGTTCAAGAAATCCATATTTCGTAACACCAGTAATACGATTAAGGTAATGCTGATGTTAATATCTTTGAGTGAGTATAGCGAAGTGTCAAAAATCGCTCCAGATATACTCTTGCTATAACTGAAAATAGACCAAACTGTAAAAATATTATCCTGTAAGTTGAATGTACTTCCTTTCTATTGCTAGCAATGAAATAACCCGATTTCTCTAAAAGATGTTGATAATCATCAAAGGCTCAAATATGTACAAAAATTCTTAACTTACTTCTTCTTAGGATATGAATAACCCAGAATAACGAATATGTCATAGCGTGAATGATATCGTCGTAGATATATCAACTATATAATCAAAAAGTAATTATAGAACGAGGAATAAATGATTTAGCATAACTAAATTACTGAGCTAGAATTCATCGGTCGTAAGAAATAAAGTAAATTGTAAAGCAATAATATTTGTGCGATAGAGATTGCAATCTGATCAAAATTTATCGATGTTGATCTTATTTATAGCCAAAGAAATATTATCAAAAAAAATAATGGAGTGATTGTTTTATTGTTGATTAAACAGTTTTATAGCTATTAAAAATTTTCAGAATTAACAATGTAAGTAAATGTTGTCGAGAAAAATTGTTGTCAAATAATTATCAAGACTGACGTTGCCTAATAACACAAAAATTTCCTTATATTGTTAACGTTACGGAAAACAAAACAACAAATTATTTTAAGTAATAACGAGAAAACATCATTTCAACGACAACTGAATCCTGTATCTACATTATGCTCAATTCATAATCTGGCTAAAGTAGCGATAATTGATTAAAATTCGATACCGACCAACGTAAAGATGAATATTGCCCATTTTTATATGCAGGTGAACACCGTAATAAAAGGAAATACTTATGTTGGTCAACGATGTATATTAAAGCTGTCTTTGCCGCATTTGACCTTCATTCTTTTGTAATACTATAGTATTTGATCAGATAAGCGTAAATTACCAGATATAGAAATGGTTTTATATCGGTTTGTATTATGATACTGTACGTGATCGATTGATGAAGTAAAGTTCACTGTATATTGAGAGAAATATCACATAGAGTCAAGTTTTTCGAATCATTATTGTAAGGATATAAGTCTTTACCGAATTATTTATCTAAAAGTTATCTGTAATGAAAAAGTTGCTTCATTCCCTTGATTTGAAAACAATATACTGTTGATCATCATTACCTGTAAATGAATAAGCATTTTCAGTTTATAATGTATTATTGTGACGTATTATGGCCGAACCTTTGTACGCTTAATTCTAAATAGAAATTATAAAGAAGAATAAGATCTATTTCGTTATTTGGACAAAAATGAAAGTTGTCTTATTTATCCCAACTTATTCTATAAATTTCCATAGCAATGGATTAAAATATAGAGGTAAGACTATTTCTGTGTGATTTCAATCGTCAGTTTCATTATTTTAATTAAGATACATAGAGAGAATGTTTCTGCACAGAGGATCTATTATTGGATTAGTGTTGCAACATTAATATTACCTGTCTATAAAAATGATTGACACAGAATGTCTTTAGAATATTTCGAGCAACACTTTCTTCCCTAAGACATGCAATTTTTAACAATGGATTTCAGGCTAATAACAATTACTGTAAGCAAGTGTTTTCACAAAATTACGAAGTTATATCTGCAATTAACTTTTAGTCAATACAAGTTATTCATTCATTTGATTGATATTAAGATAGATTACTATATTATTAATTACAAGATTTAGCAGTAACTTATTCGTAGTCTTCTGTACAATAAGTATGTGCTTAAGGGTTTATTGCAGTGTTTACTTATTTTATGTATGATCTTAGTCATAACTGGCATAAATTTGCCAATAAATTCTATTAGTTGACTATAAAATATATCATAATGATAATTACATAAGTATACCCAAAATCTCGCTCTCTAGGCTTATTTAACTAGTAAATATTACTATGACTAGGACTTAGAACGTAATTATGCAGTACTTACTAACTAATTTATATCATTTAATCTCCCATAACATGTTTCGCTCTCAAAACGGACTACTCATAGTTTGTTGCATTCCTACAGTATACTACAAAGTTATCTGCTCTGATTTATTAATTGCATAAATATTGCAAATTCTTCTTTTACGTGTAGAAAATAATAGCAATAAATCACTTTTTCGTACTATAGTGTACAAAAATGTTGACATTAGCCAGAATAAAATGATGGCTTTCTTTTTCATTAATAGGAGGATCTATTCCTAATACATTCAATTTCATAAAATGTTGATATCGAAAACGAATTTCCACATCACTCCTAATATAAATTATTAGAATAAATGAATCAGTTGTTAAACTATAGGGATCTACGGTATAGATTATCCAATTAGGATACTATCTGATGAATAACATGATTGATAACACAGATTGTATGTATGTAAAATAAAAGATTTACTCTGTATAGAGATCTTAGAGAACGCTTCTCAGTCGTATAGGTATGCATTATTCTGTATTCGGTATCGTGCAGTTAGTGATACACTGGATTATAGCTAGTGCTAAAGCATACTGTACTTTCGAATTTACTACTCGCTACTCGAAAATATTGAGTAGCAAGAAAGAAATCAGCACTATTATTATGAAGAAATTGCATTAATCTCTTTATTATTCGGTACTACTACAGATTACACTATCTACAAATAAGAGCAGATGGTCATGATGACATTGATTGACTCAAATCTTAAGTAACCTTATAATTAGGCCTATTCCAAAGTTTAATTCATATCAAGTAATTTGAATCGCAGTTCTTATTATCAACATCTTTGATCTCAAAACCCGGTAGTGAGGGACTATTTCCTGTAATACTTTTTAAAAAATGCCTTACGCTACATATAATTTGAGGATATTGCTATTATACTAAAAGGAAAATTATGATATCTCACGGTTACTGATTAGATTAATAAGTTTAACAATGAACATTGTAACTTGGTCAATTAATACGCGTATGCTCGTATCTTTCTTAACTAAATTTCATAAAACTATGAAATGCAAAGCATAGTGAAGATATCCTATACAGTACTTCATATTGAAAAAGTGTACCAAAGCTTTAAGTAAACAAATCTCTACTGTTTATGATCTTTATTAAAATAAATCGTCATTTTCTTTGTTTTATGCAACATTCATTCTTTAAGAATCGAAAGAAATACGGACGATTTACAGCAAACCGTTAAAGAAATTTCGACCGTGTTATATTCAAATAATGTTTATCCTTTGGCGAAGGAAGTTTTAAAGTTTTTTATTCATTTTTCAGGTAAGATACCATTGTTAATATACGGATATTGCACTATATCCTCTTATTTTTAATTCCGAACCCTTGAAGATAGCTAGAGGCAGATATATTTTTATATTTAATAAACATAAATACCTCTGGTACTTCTATCGTAAACCACATAATCTATAATGCTGTAGGCTGTACAACTATCTGTTCTACCTTATTCTACAGCGATTAGTTAATTTTGAACAAGATAATATTCATTTCGATTGCTGTATTCGTGAGAAAGATATAAACGATATGCACTAGTCTAAATTTATATCTTTATAGATACTCGTATATACACACAAGGGTAGGATCTTAAAAAAGTCTTTCAACATAATACATAGTAAGAAATAGTAAAAAAATCACAAAAAGGGTTCTGTGTAGACTTCTTTCCATACTATAAGTTAATTAAGTTTATACTAAAAGATTCGGTAAGAATTAGCGCAGGCATATAATTCACTTAAAATATCTTTTTAATTAGAAATCCATATGAAACGGAATATTGATTATTACTGATAGTATTACTGAAATAGTGGCTAGCTGTATGATAAGGAATAAACGTCGTCACTACCGTATACTTTCATATCTGTTTAATGTTGTAGCTGTATAGAAGTATTCTTTTAAAGATGCAATGCAAATATATGCTCACATGCATATTAAGGCATGGGAGATTACGAAAATATTAGCAGCAATACTTACTCCATGCACATGCAGTAATACGTGTATACCTAGTTTCATCAATAGCAATTACAATATATCCTAAATAATGGTCTTAATGATAATTTAAGTATTGTTCATGAAAGCCTTTTACCATATACTTTTATTGTAATTACTGATTAAATTCATCTTATATGGGTATACGATATAGTATTTTTAATGTATAATCTCTACAACGTAAATAAGAAGAAATTTTACGGTAAACTATGGTAGTTAAAGTTGACATGTACTAAAGCAGAGTTCCTTAGATGTTATTAAGTTTACATAATCACCTAAAAAAGCTATAGGAGTTAATTCTTCAAACTACTAATTGGATTTTGAAACAAAGGATATCCTACGTACACGATGCCATCATAAAACACAAAATTAAATTATGATCAGTCTTATTCTATCTTTCATATTCTCCTTTTAAAAATCTTACTAAAATTGATTAAATTTTTTGATGTAATCAGCGCGAGGGTGTAATGAATTCCTTTCAAATTTGATAATTTCTTGGCAATCCTACCTATAACGACAATTTTGTTTAACAACTGCACTGTTATGACTACTTTCATATCATAAAGTGTCGAGAGGCCTTTTTATTAGCGGAATAAATACAAATTTAACTAGTATCTATAATGTAGTAAACAGAAATTAATACCTAAAGGGTAAAATTTCTTTTTATTATCTACTGTCAATAAAGTAAACTAGGGCCTACTGTCTTATAGCATTAAGTAAATAATAAAGTTTAACTCATTTTTCTTTAAATATGTAATAAACTAAAATTCCCAATCTCGGTATTCCTATTGCACCTAATGATAATACTTATGTCATAAAGTATCGATAATATGCGTAATACATGAATCATCGATAAGATCGGAGCCGGTACTACATTTTATTCTCATTTTGAATAATGGCTTTTGGTAATTTTTCGTATCCCTTAAATATATTTACTAAATTAACCAGTAATTAATAATTTTTAAATTTGTAAATGATGCGTATTCATCTAATAAATATGAGCCCTATAATCGTATACTTGCAAAACTGATTAAAATTTAAAGGAATAGATTACTATCACCTTAATCATTGGATTAATAGATTGCATAGAGCACTCTAAATTATTTTACCTACTGAAGAAAGTGATTTATAGAGTTTAAAACTAGTCTATATTCGGAGTTGTCACAGCAACAGTATATATATACATAATATTTGTGACGAAACGAAATGCGCAATGATGACCCTATACAAAAACTTTGTTTTAAAAAAATACGTAACTTAGGAATCTAAC